CAATGTGTTCCAATAGAGTATTTAATGAGAATATGACATGTCCAAACTGCTAACAAAGCAGTTACCATTCTGGGGTGGAGAGAAAGAGAGAGAGAAAAGCCAGACATCTGGAGATCTGGGTTCTAGCTTTTGATCTATCACTAACTGGTCACATGACCATGGCAAGTTGCTTATCCTATTAGAGCTGGGGTCAGCAAACTTTTTCTGTAAAGGGCCAGGTGGTAAATATTTCAGATTTTGCGGGCCATATGGTCTCTGTTGCAAATCCTTACCTCTGCCATGATAGCATAAAAGCAGCCATAGACAACACACAAACAAAGAAGCACGGCTATATTCCAATATAATTTTATGTACCAAAAACAGGTGGTGGGTGGTATTTATGCTTCCAGGAAGATGGAGTAGACAGACAAAGAGGTACTTCTCCCTATTTCTCACACTACCATCAACTAAAAACCTTGGACATTATATACATAACAAACAAAAGATAACTCTGAAAGGTAGAGAGAAGGCACAGCAGGTGGGGACCTCAAGACCTATGGTATGACATGGCGATGAGTACTCCAGGTTTTCTTTTTGTCTCATATATCCCAGATTTGGAGATAAAGAAGCTGGCAACCTGGTAACACCAAGAGGCACAGACTAAAAAAGCCTCAATAAAACCCTATTTTCTCTAACCAAATGACCAAGAGTCGGCCCAGCAAGATCAGTAACTTTTAGACAACAACTACTTTACTCCAGCCAAACACTAGAGGAAAAAAATGGTGTCCCCACTGCCATCTATGCCAGAAAACGAGTACATAGACTTTTACTCTGACCAGAGTGAGAGTGCACCAGGTTGCAACTGGGTGCCCCAATGTCCCCAATGCAGTGGTATCAGAGAAGGCAGAGCAGATGTTCAAATGCTAAAGGAACAATTGGCAGATGAGATTCACAGGAAAGCTAAGCTATTGGGTTCGAAGACAAAAGGAATAATTAGTGACACGTGGTACTTCCGTAACTTAAAGAAAAATATTAGAAAAATAACAACGTGAAACACATGACTACAGTTAGGGGGTGTATCAAATCACACTGTCTCCTTCTCCCAATTCTGACCACAGCAATAAATACCCAGAAATACTTCGGGCCTTGTTTGGCCTGTCTTTTATTCTTCAATATTTCCAACAATAATACGGATGGCCATTGTAGCAGTTAGTGTCATGAGCCATAGTCCTGGGGACAGTCCACAGACAGATCTAATTTCAAATATAAATTCTGTAGAGAACTTAAATAGCCAAGAACCAGGTAGGAAGAGAATACAATAAAATGAGATTAAAGAGAAATATAAAAAAGAGGAGTGTTGAAAGCTTGAAAAAAACAAGTTGGAAAAAATATTTGCAGGTTCATGGACTTTGTAAACCTTCATACAGACTACTAGTAATATGTTTCATTATTTTTATCTCTAAATCTTTCCTATATATTAGTAAAAGAGAATTATACCCAAAAGTATAAATGGCAAAATCCTACATAAATAAACACTTATATTTAAAAATAAAAAGGCCTATTTGACTTCATAAGATTTTATGAAATAAAAGATTTA